TTCTCTATTTCTTCCTTCTTTCTTCTCTTTAGAATTTCAATCTCAGAAACAGTATCTGGGAAAACATCTTTTTCCACATCAACTGAGTGTACTCTGAACTCATTTACTCACTGAATGAAAAGTGGTCAGACTGTTTCAATTGAGAGATTTATCAGTCTATTTTCAAATGAAAAGTGGGTCAGACTGTTCAATTGAGAGGTTTTTTAATCTATTTTCAAATGAAAAGTTGGTCAGACTGTTTCAGTTGAGAGATTTATTAGTCTATTTTCAATTGAAAAGTTAATCAGACTGTTTCAAAAGAAGAATGAAAGACTTTTGTGTATAAAACATCTGATTTTTTTCACACTAGTTCAGTAACTAGGTTAGATTTTTGAAGAGAATCTAATAAACTAAAAGTGATTTTTAAGATAAATCAATAAAATCTTTACAAACTCTTTCTTGAGATACAGTGAGGAAAAGTATGATATCAATTGATAATAAATCAGATAATATGACAGTTTTTGAGAGAAAAACTGACAAAAAATAAGTCAATTTTTTGCAGAGAAATTGATTAAAACTATTCAATTTTATTCTAAATCATTCAATTCTTCTCACACAACAAGTGTGCAACTCAAATCAGTCAATAAAGAGTGTAAAAGAGAATTAAGTATTAATGAAAGCTCTTCAGCCACTGAAAAAGTAATTCTTACTTAAAAGAATATGAAATTATGACAGAAAACAACTCTGTTTTTAATTCTTTGTAAGAATATTGTATAAAACCCAGAGAAAAACACCTTACTTTTTCAAGAGAAGTAAAAAACTATTTCTAAGATCTTTTTTTTTATTGCATTAACTGCTGTAGAAGAATGAGATAGAAACTGCTAAGATATACACTACTATATACTCTCTATCAAGACTTTCCCTCTTCAGGGTCTTGATATTATAGAGAATATAAGTCTGTTTCTATATAATAATGTAAATATTGTCAGCGGGATGTAGAGGAACTGGTCATTTATATCTCAAAATAGAAGACTTTGTCAATGATTATATCAATATAGAGTTAATTCTCAAATTCAATAGAAACCTAGTATTGCTGTTCTCAATCCCTTGCAGAATCTATTGAATATTGAGGTATTAAAACTAGATTTAATATATCTCACTGTGCAGGGATCAAAGGCTCAGTCAGACCTTGAGGTATACTGATTTTATAGTTGTCGTGTCTGCTGATTATGTATCAAGTACAGTTTCTGAGGTAGACTGGCCGCCGGGACCATGAATTTCACATTTGGTCCCATTTGGTCTGGTCTTATACATTTCTTGGCGTGAGTCCCACCAGGACCAAGCCTCAAAAAAATCTGAAAATGGACCATTTCTGAGAGAAATGATGTGAAAAATGACCAGATTTAATTCAAGAACAGTGAAATGGAAGTAATTTTTCAGAATAAACTGTGAAAGATGATCATTCTTTCAAAATCAGAATGAGACTGAAACTGAAGATTAAAATCAGTCTCATTCAGTTCATTCAGTGATTGCTTATATAATCAGAATTTGGTAATAATTATTGATAATGCTCATGAAATAACTAAATACATTCTTGTATAAGTTTATTCTTCACTTTCTCATGAAAACTACACTTCTCTGATATACTGTAATCAGAGGTATTAAACTGTCTGATAATTCCATGTTTTACAATCATGAGTTTCTTGATTATTTCTCCTTGTAATTGTTCTCAGTGATAGTGATAAATATCTTGACTTGAGTTGAACTTTCACTTCATTCTCATCTCTGTCAATGAAATTGTCAGAATATTATATATCATCAGTGCAACAGTTGAATATGTACTCTTAACAATTTTTTATAACTCTAGAATTGATTTGATGTGTAAATTCATCAGATCATCTTGAAGATAGCAGTCAAATTCAGTTTTATAAGCATGTAGTTTTACCTGATTTTCAGTTGCAATCAATGTATGTAAGTTCTGTTTCAAAGTTAGTATTATAGTTCTATGTGATATGAAGTGTTATCAAAGATTGTTACTTACTAGAGAATTGTATTTCACTGTCTTCACATCTTGAATATCTGCTTGTTCAAATCTCTGATAGTTGACATTGTAGTAGTCTCAGACTAATTTAACATATGAGTCTTATTCCTTCTCTGTTCAATCTTGAGAAGTGTAGATGTTAACTCAACAGAAGAGATCTAGTAGAGCTGCTACAGCATAGTACTCTGCAAAAGATTGTTTCATTTTGCTGTAGTAATATGCCAGTTTATTTCTTACAGTAATAATAGCCTGCACTATAGCATCATCCCAGACTGAATTTCTTTTTAAGTGATTCAACTGCTTCTCAAGATGAGTAAATAAACTGTTATACACTCATCAGACTGACTGCAGCATTGATGTACAAGTGATTGAGACTGTCTTTATTATCTTATAAAACTGAAACAGTAAATCAATCACATATTTCAACTGAGTTCACTTCATATCAGAAAGTTTCAATATCTGAATCTTTTTCTGATCAGAGTGTTGCACTCAATGATCAATTGTCTGACATAATTGAAGAGTCTGAACAGTTATCTTATATATTGAACTTCACTGTGTTCTAACATTCTGTATCATATTCAGTGATGTGACTGATTTATTTATTTGTTGAATATCATGGAATTGTTGTTATTATTTAGAAGAGATACAAATTGCATTAGCAATGTTTTAAATCTATGATATTTAAATTATTAGTCAATCTATTCAAAATTAACAGTAGCATTATCAAAAAGCATTATTAAAAAGCAATATCAAAAAGTGTTATCAAAAAACATTATCTTTTGTAAAGTGAATGCAAAAGTTACTTGAGTAATCACTTTCATCTCATTCTTATCTCAAGAATCAGCCATCTCATTATTCTTCATCTCAATGTTAAGATTCTTTATCAGTGTTTGCATCACAAGTTGAACCACATCAGCAATGCAGGGAATATGACCTTGTTTATCATTTCAGAAATGCAAAGCCAATTTTTGCTTCAAGCTCTTCATCATAGTGTAGTTATTTACAGCATTGTCAGTTGTAATTGTAAGAAGACTGAGACTAGACTGACCGTGTGACCGTGTCTGGAACCAGGACCAGAAGTTTTGATAGTCCCATTGTCAATTCGACAGATCCCATTACACGGTTCTAACATTAGATAGTAGTCTCATACTGTCCCAGTGGGACTTACTGTCTACTCTTGTCACATTTTCCAAATGAGACCATGATTTCCACTTCTCAATTTAAATTATTTTTATTGCTTTAAATGGCTTTAAATCTCATTTGAGCATTACCAAAAAGCGTTACTTTTTAAAAAATTAAAAATAGTCTAAAAAAAACCTTAAAATGTCTAAAAATAGTAACTTTATGCCAAGAATGGGACTAAATGAGACCAAATGGGACCACTTTCTCATTTTTTTCAAGTCATGGTTCCATTTTGAGATGTGATATATAGTCACTTTGCATGTTTATTTAATGATTAGTCCCAGCGGGATTCACGCCAAGAAATGTATGAGACCAGACCAAATGAGATCAAACATGAAATTCATGGTCCCAGCGGCCAGTCTAACTGAGACTAATATTTCAATAGTCATTTTTAATCACAGTTATTAATACCTCTGTTATATAATCCTCAGTATGACTACTGATCAATGATTCAAATTCAATTAATGTTTCTTGATAAGTTCAGTTCTCATCAATGTAATAACATGTAACTCTTATAAATGCAAGATTGTTTGTACTAGTTCATGCATTCACTGTAAGAGACACTCTTCAATGATTCTTCAACTCTGATTCTAGATATTGCATATTGACTTTGTAGTGTGTCTTGAGATTGAACTGAAGACAGGATTGATGTGAAATATGAAGATTTGAATTAAGCATTTGAAGAAGTGTTCAGAATTCGGGGTTTTCAATTGATTGAAGAGAAAGATTCAGAGATATACATATATAAAGTAATTGTTCATGGAAGTTATCAGATGAGAGTTGTGAAATCAGAGTACTGACACAGAGTTATTTTTGCATGATTTTCTTCAAATTAGAAAGTTAGTGTTATCAAAAATTGTTACCTGATAGAGCAACTTATCAGCTCAGTAGTAATTTTCTGATTATTTTTCTTTTATTGTCTGCATTCTGATGACTTCAGATGTCAGGAAATTTCTTCAGAGTTATGATCAGTTCATGATGAATGTTTCTGAATGAAGTTGCAGTGATTGTAGCAGAGAGATGACTCTTCAGTAATCTGCAATGCAATCTGTTGATAATTATTTCATAGTTCATCTCAATATTTGTGTTAAGTTTTTCATAAATTTTGTGACCTGGAATCAGATGTGAAGAATGAAGTGATCATTCATCATGATTGAAAGAGAGCATTCTGTGTTGAATTGTAAATAACATAGACTTTGTGATTCACAGTGATTTCTTGAAGAGTTTGTGAATCTTCAATAGAAGTAAAAGAAGTGAAAGAAGTGAATTCAGAAGACATGATAATAATTTGAGAAAGATAATAATTTATTTTCAATAACTGATCACTGATGTGTGTAAGAAGAATTAATATAAGAGAAAATAATCTTGTTTCTTAGCTTAGTTATAATTTTAGTACTAACTCAGATTGAATATTATCAATGTATAAAAGTAAATAAACAATCTTGATTAATCTCTGTCATATTTCTTGAAATATATTAATATTGTAAAAGAGAGTGTTACTAAATTACATTATCAGATAATATCATTAAAAATATATTAATATTGTGAATATCAATGTTGAAAAAATGTTGATACTTATACATTATAGTGATTTGTGAATCATGATAGTTAAATATATATATATATATATATATTGTTTCTGACTTGATTACAACTTGTACAATAATTTTTAAAAACTCAAAATTAATTTCAAGTATTAATAATTATGAACTTACAACTAACTAATATAAAAAGAAAAAAACTTTTTCTACTTATTATCTTTCTTCTCTTTCTCATTCTTCTTATCATTCTTTATAATTTACTTCTTATTCTTCTTCTTCTTCTTCTCCTCCTCATCTGAGATGATAATCACCTCAAAATCTCTCTTCACTGTCTTCTCAGAGAAGGGTTCCTGCTGCTCCCTCTCAGTCAGGTCAATCTGTGTCTCAAAATCCCGTATTTCCTGATCTGCTGCCTCGGGTTTCATCTCAGTAGCAAGCAGATTGACATGCTCAGAGAGCAGAGCTGTCTTCTCAATATTCTGAATCATGGAGTGTATTTGAGATCTGAATAAGGCCTCAATTCTCTTCTTCTCTGTCAGCTTCTGCTAATCAATTAGAGAACAGAAGTGTTATCAAAAATTGTTATCTCTTAACAAATAAAAAACTTATCAGTTTTAACTTCTTTATCTCTTACTTCAACACTCTCTCAATCTTCTTCTGCTGCTGCTTATTTATAATAATACTCTTCTTCTCTCTCTCTCTCTTCATCTTAGTCTTAAATCATTCTCAGAACTTCTTCTGATCTTATCACTACTGTATGAGACTCTTCACTATCTTCTTCTTCAATCTCTCACAGATGACATTATCTGCATTATTTCTATACTTAGTTCAGTCTAAATCTATCAGAAGTATTACTTAAAATTGTTATCATTCTACTTTCTTACAGAGTCTCTTTAAGGCATTATAACATGTCTTATGATCTCTCTCCTCTCACTTGAATGTCTTCTTCTCCTCTTTCTTCAATCTGTGACAGCGCTCACGTGCCTTGATGATCCGCAGGACTGCAGAATATTTGAAGAAAGATGACATGATTAGTTTCAGTGAGTGTTGAAGAGAAGTGAAGGCAGAAGAGACGGCCAGAAATGATATAATGATGATGATTATTATTATTATTATTATTCTTCAATTATAGATGTATGCAGTCAGAGACTATGACATCTACCTGAGAACTTTTAGTTCTCAGGGTTTTTCCTATATCTGTAAAGTTAACTATTATACATTCATCAATTCCAGATATGCAAAATGAGAAAATTTCAGCTCAGAATACAAAAACTGTTTACAAATTGCAGTGTTTTAACATCATCTCATACTTTGAAACCATTTGACAATATCATGACAAAGGAAAAGAGAACACAGTCTTAAAGATAGACACATTAAATAGATAGACAGAAAGAAATTGAAAGAAAAAGATAAACTAAAGAAAGACTGTAACAAAACAAATTATTAAAAGATAGTATATAGCTGTTTTAACAGACTATATCTGGTTGATTTCCTCCTCTTCATATTCAGATAATTCTGAATTTAGTCATTTTCTTGTAGCTGCTTAAGTTTCTGATAGAAAGTCTATTAAGTATTTAATTCCTGTCTCAGTTGAGAATAAGAATCTCATATTTAATTGATTTAGATCATACTTCTCTTTCAATCTGGCTCTGAGACTATTGTATAATGCACAGTGCATTACAATATGCTCAGGATTTTCATTTGTATTACAGAATGAGCATTCTATTGATTCAAATCTATCATCAAATCTTTGTATATAAGATTTGAAATAGCCATGTTCTAGTTTCAGCTGTATTATAGATGAGAATATTTTCTTTTTACATTTAATTGAACAAGATTTCCACTTGGGCTTTGTTTCAAATCTTGAATAATGTATACTCTTCTTTTGTTTCTGCCAGCTTTCATTCCACTTGTGTAAATAAGATTCTTTTATTTTTCTCTTTATAAAAGACCAGGACACAATTTTTTGAATAGATCTGCCTAATTCTGCACTCTTTTTTACAGCTGAATCAGCCAATTCATTGTCATGAATATTCATATGAGCAGGAACTCAGTGCAGATGAATAATCAGCTTTGATGTTCTTCTATTTTGAATTTTCAAAACAGAGTTTAAGATCAGTTCAAGATTCATTTGACTATTATGAATCTGACTATTTCTAAGTCTTTTTAAAGCAGCTTGACTATCAGAGAATATTCATGCCTCTTTCAAGCAATTTCCTCTTCTATGAGATTTTATTTCAATGAGTTTGAAAGCTTTCACTATTGCAAATAGTTCAGCATCAAAGACTTCACATTCAGAGCCTATATTTCAGAAATCTGAGATAAAATTGATATTATCTTCAGTATAAGCAATGCCTGCGCCTAATCTATTCAAGTTCTCCTTTTTTGAGTCATCTGAATAAATCAGAATAGAATCTTTTATATTGATTGTAGAAATTCTCTTTGAATACTGTTCATATTCTTTCTCTTTTGATAGTTCACTTATTTGTAAATCTATAAGAGATTCAAGCTTTTCTCTCCAGAGAGATAACTTCTCATGATCAACTTTTTCAACATTTAAAGAAGAAAATTGATTTTTAATCAGAGAGCATAGTCTGTACAGTTGAGAAGACATTTTCTTTAAAGAATTATTTTCATTTCAATCAAGAAATCTATTTCAATCCAGTTCATTTCCAGAGTTACTTAATGAAAATGAAAAAGAGACTCTTTCTCTGATTATATGATTTGAGCTCATCTTTATAACTCTCAGAGCATAGTTCATACAGGCCTTTTCAAATCTAATAGCAGGAGAAGGAATTGAAGCTTCAATTTCCATTGCTTTAATAGGAGATGATTTGAATGCTTTCAGAATTCTTCTCAAGACTCTGTTTTGCAGACTTTGAAAGAGTTCAGTGAAATTCTCTTGATTATTTCACCAAACTTGAACTTCATAATCAGCTACTGATGTAATACAGGCTATATATAACTGTCTCATAGCCTGGAAGAATAGACCTCTCTCTGTATTTAATAGTCTGATTATGTTATTCAATAGTCTTTCTGCCTTGACAGTTGTTTATTGAATGTAATATTTAAAATTCAACTTGGAGTTTAATCATACTTCTAATCATTTGACATTTACACTGGGTTTAATCTCTCTATTTAACAGAGTTAGAGATAGTTCTTTCTCATTAAATCTAGAAAAGAAATGAATTAACTCAGTTTTATTCATATTAAATTGAATTTGATTGATATCTGCTTTAACAAAGATTTCCTTTGCAGCTTCTTCAATTACTTTCAAATTCTCTTTGATAGTTTTTGAGCTGTAGACTAGACCAATATCATTCACATAACTCAGAGATCGCACTATTCTCATATTTCTATTTTTAAATAGATATGCAGTGTATATTGCAAATTAAATGGGCGAGATTGAAGATCTCTGTGATACTCCTATTTTTATCTCAGTCTTGTCTTGTTTCATTTCATTAAAGAAGAGTTGTATACTTCTTTTAGATATAAAACAGTTAACTCATTTTATTAGAGAAAGTGACAGTTTTAATATCTTCAATATCTGAATTAACTTTGACTTTGAAACATGATCAAATGCTTCTTTTATATCAATAAAAACTGCAGTTGAGACCAGATTCTCATGCTTTGCTATTTGAATATCATGAACAACTGAGAGAACAGTGTCAATTGCAGAACACTGTTTTCTATCTCTCATTTATTCACTGAATAAAAGAGAATTATCTATAGAGCTTATAAAAAATAGTTAAGTAGCTATTATCTTTTCTAAAACCTTTTCTAGGCAGTTCAATAGAGATATTACTCTATATGACTTAGAAATTGAAGTTTTTCTATTAGGTTTTGCAAGAATCACTTCAGTGACTTCTCTCCAGTATTCAGAATGATATCCATTTTTCAAGAGATTGAAAAAGAGCTCAAAATATTCATTCTTTAAGTAGGAATATGTATTCTGAATAATTAAGTGATTAATTGAATCAGGACCTGCAGCAGTTTTAACAGAACTTGAGAAGATAGCTGACTCTAATTCATCTTGTGTAAGATCAGGCCATTTCCAGTCATTTTCATTAATGTAGTTGAGAAGTGATATATTCTCTTCCTCTGAATCTGAATCTGAATCTGAATCTGAATCTGGTGAGTTCTGAAAGAGAATTCTCATGAAAGCTTGACATTTTTCCTTAAAAGAGTTTACTGTATATGATTCATTCTGAAACTCATATTCTAAGGCTGGAAGTTTTGCTACACTTCTTGTTTTAGTATAGTTAAAAGCTTTAAAAACTTTCTTTTCTTGTGCTTCTTCAAGAAATTTATTCCAGCAGTCTGTTTTAGCTCTTTTAATATCTGAAAAATATTCATTTCTGACAGCTTTGAACTCTTCATCAGATATTACATCATTCTTTCAATCTCTTCTAGCAGTAGCTAATTCTTTTCTTTTAGATGAGATATTCTCATTTCATCAAGATTTTGAATACTCAGAAGATTTTCTCTTTGAAATATTATCTCTAACACTTGTTAGAATAATAGATGTAATAAGCTTCACTCTATTCTCAAGCATTTCATTTGAGATATCTTGACCAGAATTTCAATATAGCTCATTCTGTCTCTCAGATTTTAACAGTTTTATACTTTCTTCAACTGCTTTTCAATCAGCTTTTTCAAAGTTATACTGATTAGAGAGAAGAGGATTTTCACTCATTTGTTTTTCACTCAGTTCAATATCAAATTGAATAATCTCATGATCTGATTCTGATGTCTTATTTGAATTAATAAACCAGTTTACAAGTCTTCTTTTCATTAGATTTTATGACATGAAGATTAGATCTATAATAGACTTCTGTTTCATGCCTTTTCTAAAGAATGTTTGTTGATCAGACTTATTAACTAAATCTATTGAATGCTCAAAGGTTCATTTAACCAGATTATCAGCTCTCACTGCTCTCTTGCATTCTGAATTCTATCAGAGATGATGTGCATTGAAGTCTCCTGCAATTATAGAGTTTCTTGATAGAGTTATGTTCAGAAATTCTCTATCAATTGTCCAGATATTGTTATATTTCTTCAATGACTTTTCATTATAGATATTTATAAGCTGTATAGTATCAAACTCATTTTCTTTATCTATAATATCACTCACCAGAATATCAGGGTCAGACATGATATCAAATCTTAGATTAAATTGATATCTTGATCTCTTTCTTTCATAGATCACTACTCTTGACTTTATCTCAGATTTTTGAGGTAAAAAGCAGTAGTAGCTTGAGTGAGAAATGATATATTTTTACTCAGCATCAAAATTCAGCTCCTGAAGCAGTACAAAATTAACTTTTTATTCAAATGCAATTTGAAGACAAGAATAAATGCAATTTGAGTTTCTATTCACATTATTTTGAATAAATGTGATTTTTGAAGAGTTTTTAAACTTTTTTTGTTATTTTTGTTGTATATTCATACTAAAAGAGAGTAGAGTAGAATCTAATCACTATCATTAGATAGTAGATTATAACTATTCTGAAAAGTAGGAATCTCAACTGCTTGCATTATATCTAGTTTATCATCAGAGTCATTTCTCAATTCTCTAATCTTAACAGAAGTTTGAGGATTCAAATTCTGTTTACATTTCACTGGAGAATTGAAGTTTGAAGACTTAGATAATTGAGAGTTTCTTCTTTTTGAGCTTGCAGTTGTGAGTTTACTGACTTGACTATTCTCTTCAGTTCTAGATTTACTCTGAGCTTCATCTTTTCTCCAGTTCTTTTGAGTTCTTGAAGTGAACATACATTCTTTTGAGCTAGATGCATGTTTTTCTTTGCAATTAGAGCATTTAAGCAGAGTGTGTTGACATATTTCATCTCTTTTTAAGCATGTTTCACATTTATGCTCACTAGTTTTGTGATCTCTGGCACAGAATGCACATTTTGAGTCTCTGAAACAGGAGATTGCAAAGTGTTCATATCTTTGACAGTTTGAACACTGTGTTTGAGCTTTGAGATTCATTCTTGAGTCTTTGTATTCATGAACTCTCATTTTCAAACCTGTCACTCTTACTTCAGAGATCTTTGACTGTTCCATTGTCTTTGTATATACTAGAACAGAGGCATTTCTTCTGCTTTATCTGAACTCAATTGAATTTAGTCACACAGGCTTCTTTCTCAGTTGAATAGAGTTGTATTCTTCTAATTCATTTTTGAGAAGTAGCATTCCTTCTTCACAGTCAAAAATTTCAACTGAAATATCATGAAGAATGAATTTATTCCACTTTTCATCTCTCTCAGATAGAATTATTATGTTTAACAAAGATTCTACTGCTGATTTTCAGAGATTCTCATTCTGAATAAGGAATTCAGCACTGAATTCAGCCATTGTAGTCAGAATGATAGAGTTTTCAAAGAAGAATGGCTCAATTGAAGCTATAACTGGTTTTTGAACTTCAATATCAGTCATTAACTGAGAAAAGAACTGTTGATTGATTTCATTTCTAATTCTGAAAATGAGGTTTGAGTTTAGCTTATTTCTCTGCAATATATCCTGATTTGAGACTTTGAGAATAAGTCTTCTATCTCTGGAGATTTGAAGATTTTTCTCTTTTTACATTTTTTTCTTCACTCTTCTATCACTAGAAGTATGAGCAGTATTCTTCTCAGTTTTCTCAGAATTTTGAGCAGGTTTTGAGATAGCAGATTTAGAGACAGCAGGTTTAGAGACAGCAGATTCAGCTGCTTAAGCATATGTTTTCTTCTGATTTAAAAAAGAAGAAGAAGAAGAAGTAGAAAAGAAAGCAGAGTAAACAGAAGAGTCAGTGATTATATTAGAAATTTTCAAAGTTTTTTGAACTGTGTTTGAAATTTCAAGTTTGAACTTAATCACTTTCTGTAGTTGTCTAGTCTGAGTATGAAGAATTAACAGAACTTCTTCATTCATCTCACTCAGACACTGCTTTTCAAGGATTTTACTTGCTTTTTCAAGTTTCTGTATTTCAAGAACTTGTTGTTTCTCTATTTCTTCTTTCTTTCTTCTCTTCAGAATTTCAATCTCAGGAATAGTATTTGAGAAAGCATCTTTTTCCACATCAACTGAGTGTACTTTTGAACTCATTATTCTTACTCAATGAAAAGTTGATCAGACTAATTTAATTGAGATATTTATTAAACTCTTTTGAATTGAAAAGTTGATCAGACTGTTTCAATTAAGAGATTTCTAAGTCTGTTTTCAATTGAAAAGTTAGTCAGACTATTTCAAAAGAAGGATAGCAGACTTTTATGTATAAAACACCTGATTTTTTTTCACACTAGTTCAGTAACTAGGTTAGATTTTTGAAGAGAATCTAATAAACTAAAATTGATTTTTAAGATAAATCAATAAAATCTTTACAATCTCTTTCTTGAAATACAGTGAGAAAAAGTATGATATCAATTGATAGTAAATCAGATGATATGACAGTTTTTAAGAGAAAAACTGACAAAAAATAAATTAATTTTTTGCAGAGAAATTGATTAAAACTATTCAATTTTATTCTAAATTATTCAATTCTTCTCACACAACAAGTGTGCAACTCAAATCAGTTAATAAAGAGTGTAAAAAAGAATTAAGTATTAATGAAAGCTCTTCAGCCACTGAAAAAGTAATTCTTACTTAAAAGAATATGAAATTATGATAGAAAACAACTCTGTTTTTAATTCTTTGTAAGAATATTGTATAAAACTCAGAGAAAAACACCTTACTTTTTCAAGAGAAGTAAAAAACTATTTCTAAGATCTTTTTTTTTGCATTAACTGCTGCAGAAGAATGAGATAGAAACTGCTAAGATATGCACTACTGTATACTCTCTATCAAGACTTTCCCTCTTCAGAGTCTTGATATTATAGAGAATATAAGTCTGTTTCTATATAATAATGTAAATATTGCCAGTGAGATGTAGAGAAACTGGTTATTTATATCTTAAAATAGAAGACTTTGTCAATGATTATATCAATATAGAGTTAATTCTCAAATTCAATAGAAATCTAGTGTTGCTGTTCTCAATTCCTAGCAGAATCTATTGAATATTAAGATATTAAAACTAGATTTAATATATCTCACTGTGCAGAGATCAAAGGCTCAGTCAGATCTTGAAGTATACTGATTTTATAGTTGTCATGTCTGCTGATTATGTATCAAGCACAGTTGCTGAGGTATCTTTTTGTACTTTTCTGTCAGAGGTAGGCCAGATTGAGAGGGGTGATATGAGAGTGAGACTCAGTGTTAATGTCTAGATACACTAAAGACAGACCGCGGAGATTGCACTTCAGAAGTGATTGTTGATTATATACTTGATATTATCACTGAGATATCTTTTTGTACTTTTCCATTGAGGATGAGCCAGATTGAGAGAGGTGATACAAGGGTGAGACTTGGTGTTGATGTCTAGATACACTGAAGACAGACCGCGGAGGTTGCTCTTCAGAAGTGGTCATTGATTATGTGCTTGATATTATCGCCGAGGTATCTTTTTGTATTTTTCTGCCAGAGATGGGCCAGATTAGGAAGGGCGGTACGAGGGTGAGACTTGGCATTGATGTTTTGGAACATCAAAGATGGACAGGGTTTTCGCGGAGGTCGCTTCTCAGATATCTCCACAACTACAGATCAGGGATCTTCCAAAATCAAGAAGATTGGTGCATATGGCTAGGTCTCTTCACCTTACAATTTGTATGGCAATTTGGCCCGGGGTTGTGGTGTGGTAGGGGAGAATGGGGGATAATCCCACGCAGGAGTTCCGAACAACGTCTGGTTCACATTTGGCTGGATAACTCCACCACCACACGGGGTATGCGGTCGGCGATGGGGTCAAAATGCTCGTATGATCGAGGGCTTTTCGATGGATCTATCGGCGGGTTCTTATTCGAAAAATCGAGCGAGTTCGTGGTGAAGCGGTTCGTTGACTTGATTAATGATGATGATAATAATGATAATAATGATGATGATAATAATGATAATAATGATGATGGTGATAGTGATGATGATGATGATGATAATGATAATAGTGATGATGATGATGATGATGATGATGATGAAAGAGAGAGTGCATTGAAATATATTACTAACTTATCAAATATAAAGAGACTCAAAGAAAATATTAACAGCTTTCAGTGATGTACAGAAACAGCTACAGTATTGTATAGCAACATTATCTTCATTCAATGCATGCACTGTTGATATTCTTTATATGCAGTTATTATATAATCTGTATCAGAGATACATGCAGAAAACAGATCTTTGTTACTAGAATAAATGATTACAGCAATTCTCTATTTTCATATTATAAAGATAAGTTATTCTCATTTCTTTCTTCTCTTTTTTCTCTTCTTCAATCAATCACTAATTTCAAGCTGATATGAAAACTATTAAAACACTCTCAGAAACTCTCAAATTTAAGAGTATAGACTAATCAAATTTTAAATATAGAAGAAATTAAATTATCTTCTACAGATTCAATTACTCATCTTCTCTTAAATAAAACAGCAGTCATGTTCTCTCTACCTCTCTCAATCAAACAAAATATGGCCTGTGAAAAGTGAGTATCACATCAGACCATAATGATCAACACAGCCTCAGCATGCAGAGCTGTATATACACAGTGTATGCTGAACTGAGAGACTGCATGAGTTGCAAACCAGCAGCAGCATCTCAGAAAGAGCTGTGCAGTGTGAGAAAGTCACAACTCTCAGCTATATATACAGAGAATGAATCACTGCAGTAAGTGTATATGTATTAAAGTAATGCTTTTTAATAATACTCAGTCTCTGATATGATGAAAATAGAGTCTCTCTGTGAGATCTGTTTCTATCAGAAGTTTGAAGATCTTATATTTCTCAAGATCATCTTCACACATCTTATCTGTGAAATTGATGAGAAGAATCATTGATTTCAGTATTCTGTTCTTGATATCATTCAAGTGATAGCAGAGTTCACTCTGATCACACTTTTTAAGTGTATGTTTTCTAATTATTCACATTTATATAGATATATACTGATTATTTATTAGATGATATTAAGATAATAACTTATTACAGCTGTGTTACTCTCACTATAAGAGATACATAATTAATAATAAATATTATGAAGACTATGAGAAGTGAGTATTTTAAGAGTACTATAGCTCTGTGATCTTGATTTTTTTTTATTTTTATTTTTTATTTTTTTCTTTTTCTTTTCTTTTTTTTTATTTTTCTTTCTCTTTCTATTTCTTTTTTTCTTTCTCTTCTTTTTTTCTTTCTCTTTTTTTTTTTTTTTTTTTTTTTTTTTTTTTTTTTGTTATGATTTTTTCTTGTTATTTTGTTTTTTGTTTTTTTATTATTTTTTGTATTGTACATTTTTTTTTTTTAATTAAAATGATATTAATTATAATCTGTGTTTAGAAAAGTAATAATATTTGATAATACTCTCTGTTGAATTTTCAACAAATGAGCACTATGTTATGATATTATGTAAGTGAGAAATGATTTCATAATCTCATTTAGTATCATTTTCAATAATGAGATCAGAATGAAAATGTGACTAAGAATTCAAATATATTCTTTATCTGAGACTAGATTTTTATTTGAAAAGTGAATCTGAGACCTTTAATATTTGAAATAACAGGATTTGAAATCAATGTGATGAACACAAACCATGATCAGGAGTAATGCTTTTAGGCAACGTGACAACTGTAAAGTTTGGTCCTGGTCCCAGACACGGTCACACGGTCAGTCTATTCTGAGGTATCTTTTTGTACTTTTCTGTCGGGGATGGGCCAGGTTGAGAGGGGTGGTACAAGGGTGAGACTTGGCGTTGATGTCTAGATACGATACACTGAAGACAGACCGCGGAGGTTGCACTTCAGAAGTGGCTGTTGATTATGTGCTTGATATTATCGCCGAGGTATCTTTTTGTATTCTTCTGCTGGGGATGGGCCAGATTAGGAAGGGCGGTACGAGGGTGGGACTTGGCGTTGGTGTTTTGGAACATCAAAGGTGGGCAGGGTTTTCGCGGAGGTCGCTCCTCAGATATCTCCACAACTACAGATCGGGGATCTTCCAAAATCGAGAAGATTGGTGCATATGGCTAGGTCTCTTCACCTTACAATTTGTATGGCAATTTGGCCCGGGGTTGTGGTGTGATAGGGGGGAATGAGGGATAGTCCCACACAGGAGTTTCGAACGACGTCTGGTTCACGTTTGGCTGGATAACTCCACCACCACACGGGGTATGCGGTCGGCGATGGGGTCAAAATGCTCGTATGATCGAGGGCTTTTCGATGGATCTATCGGCGGGTTCTTATTCGAAAAATCGAGCGAGTTCGTGGTGGAGCGGTTTGTGACAGAATGAGAATCTGAGTATGAAATATATTAAGTTAGAAGATCTGTCTGAGTTATCAAGCATCAATGATGACTGAAAAAATGATACTACAATTAGCTAGCTAAGTCAGATACAATCATATTATTAGATTGAATATGAACTCATAGACAGACAGTTAATGAAATTTTAACAAGTCTTAAGATCTGCTGTATTTCTACATAGAAAAGCAAAGTTATTATAAATAACTGATGAAAAGATGAATCTCACAGATCTGAAGTAATATTCATTCTCACAAATATGAAATAAGTTTTTTAAATGAATCTTATACAATTTTGAGAAAGTGAATATATAAGATAAGTATTATAAACACTTCACTGAGTGTAGATAAGTGAGCAATCTTATATTATACTTTATACACTTCAGCTTACACTATCTCATGTTAAATGAAGAGCTTTTAACATCTTTCTATTTACAGATCTTCATTCATAATCTTACACTTAAGTTGAGAGTGAAATGAAAATACTTAATCTTACAATCAGGCACAGTGAAAGAAGCATACAATATTCTCATTATATAAGAATAAGTGAGTCAATTCTAACAGAAAATACTGCAATTAAGTATGTCTTAGTAAAGAACAGATAATCAGACTTGTATAACATAAGTTATACACTCAGATATAATAAATCTAGATCTGAATATTATCACTAAAGTACTGAATTCTCTGAAAAAGAAATTCTCTGAGTGAAAATCTTGATATTGCAAGCATCAAGCTTGCTTTAACTGTAAATATTAAAATCATAATACAAAAGATTGCACTTAGCATGTGCAGTTAAGAGAAGTAAGAGAGTTAAAAAACTAGCAGAATCAGTGAGCTCAGAGATACTCACTGATATTCTATGAAAAGTCTTCAAAGTGAAAGAGATGTCTGTATTAGATGACTCTCTGAATTCTGTAAATATTAAGAGAAAGCAGGCTTCTGAATAAGATGTAGATAAGAATGATAAAGTGAATACTCATCTCAATGTCTTAAGACCTGAAATATTAATATATAAGAAGCACTTGAATAAGAATTGAGAGATGACTATAAAAGTGTTAGTGAATACAGAAGCTTCTATACAATATATTAATAATTATATAATCTGAAGACTGAAAGAAGTCTGCTGAGTGAAGAATCTCTGATATATAAGATTATCTGATAATTAATATTTGATATTATCTGCAAGAGTAAGAGTTCTCCTGCACTTCAGAGAATGATCTTGCTATACTTGAACATGAGAGCTGCAGAACATGAAATATAATCTTATTCTCAGACTTGATTGATTTCAAAGATTCAATCTGCAGATTCAATAATGTACATGTCATATGCAGTTAACTGATAGAAAGAGAACAGTTTATACAATTCTATCAACTAATATGAGAAGAACATTTCACATTTCTGATATAGAAGAGTTAAATCTGCTTATATATTAATAAACAAAGAGAACAATTCACAAAATCTCATTCAAAAGCATTCTGTATATCATACAGAACTCAGAAGCAGAGAAAACCAAGATAAAGAATATACAGAAGAACAAGTATATAAAGAAGCTTCTGAAGAAGTATGAGAAGATCTTTTAAACAGATCTTTCACTGAAATTGCAGCTGAAATGAGGATTTGTACATGAGATTGACACAGAAGAGACAAAATCAATCAATCAGAATGCATATTCTCTATTATAAACACATCTCAAAGAACAGAAGTATCAGATCACAGACCTTCTAGAACATGATCTTATACAACTCTCATCAAGCACATGAGACTTTTCAGTTCTATTTGTGAAAAAGACAGATGAGGAGTGACTAGACTGACCGGCGGGACCATGAATTTCACATTTAATTCCATTTGATCTGATCTCATACATTTCTTGATGTGAGTCTCACCAGAACCAAGCCTCAAAAAAATCTGAAAATGAATTATTTCTGAGAGAAATGATGTGAAAAATGACCAGATTTAATTCAAGAACAGTGAAATGAAAGTAATTTCTCAGAATAAACTATGAAAGATGATTATTCTTTCAAAATCAGAATAAAACTGAGACTGAAGATTAAAATCAGTCTCATTCAGTTCATTCAGTGATTGCTTATATAATCAGAATTTGGTAATGATTATTAATAACACTCATGAAACAACTAAATACATTCTTATATAAGTTGATTCTTTACTTTCTCATGAAAACTACACTTCTCTGATATACTGTGATCAGAGATATTAAACTATCTGATAATTTTATATTTTACAATCATGAGTTTCTTGATTATTTCTTCTTATAATTGTTCTCAGTAATAGTGATAAATATCTTAACTTGAGTTGAACTTTCACTTCATTCTCATCTCTGTCAATGAAATTGTCAGAATATCATGTATTATTAGTACAATGATTGAATATATACTCTCAACAATTTTTCATAACTCTAAAATTGATTTGATGTGTAAATTCATCAAATCATCTTGAAGATAGTAATCAAATTCAGTTTTATGAGTATGTAGCTTTGCCTGATTTTCAGTTGTAATTAATATATATAAGTTCTGTTTCAAAGTTAGTATTATAGTTCTATGAAATATGAAGTGTTATCAAAGATTGTTACTGACTAAAGAATTGTATTTCACTGTCTCTATATCTTGAACATCTGCTCATTCAAATCTCTGATAGTTGATATTGTAGTAGTCTTGAGTTAATTTAATATATAAGTCTTGTTTCTTCTCTGTTCAATCTTGAGAAGTGTAGATATTAACTTGATGAGAGAGATCTAGTAGAGCTGCTACAGCATAGTACTCTGTAAAAGATTGTTCAGTTTTACTGTAGTAATATGCCAGTTTATTTCTTACAGTAATAATAGTCTGTACTATAGTATTATCTCAGACTGAATTTCTTTTTGAGTAATTTAACTGCTTCTCAAGATGAGTAAATAAACTGTTATACACTTATCAGACTGACTGCAGCATTGATGTATAAGTGATTAAGACTGTCTTTGTTGTCTTATAAAACTGAAATAGTAAATCAATCACATATTTCAACTGAGTTCACTTCATATCAGAAAGTTTCAATGTCTGAATCTTTTTCTGATCAGAGTGTTGCACTCAATGATCAATCATCTGATACAATCAAAGAGTCTGAACAGTTATCTTATATGTTGAACTTCATTATGTTCTAACATTCTGTATCATATTCAGTGATATGACTGATGTATTTATTTATTAAATATCATGAAATTGTTATTATTATTTAGAGGAGATACAAATCATATTAGCAATATTTCAAATCTATGATATTTAAATTATTAGTCAATCTATTAAGAATTAACAGTAGTATTATCAAAAAGCATTATTAAAAAGCAATATTAAAAAGTGTTGTCAAAAAACATTATCTTTTGCAAAGTGAATGTAAAAGTTACTTGAGTAATCACTTTCATCTCATTCTCATCTCAAGAATCAGTCATCTCATTATTCTTTGTCTCAATGTTAAGATTCTTTATCAGTGTTTGCATTACAAGTTAAATCACATGAGCAATGCAGAGAATATGACCTTGTTTATCATTTCAGAAATGCAAAGTCAATTTTTGCTTCAAGCTGTTTATTATAGTGTAGTTATTCACAGCTAGACTGACCGCTGATATCATGAATTTCATGTTTGGTTTCATTTGATCTGATCTCATACATTTCTTGGCGTGAATCCCGCTGGGACTGGCTATTAAAAAAACATGTAAAGTGACTATATATCAGATCTTAAAATGAAATCATGACTTGAAAAAAATAAGAAAGTGATTTCATTTAGTCTTATTTAGTTTCATTCTTGGCATAAAGTTACTATTTTTAGACATTTTAAGGTTTTTTTTAGACTATTTTTAATTTTTTAAAAAGTAACACTTTTTGGTAACACTTAAATGAGATTTAAAGTCATTTAAAGCAATAAAAATAATTTAAATTGAGAAGTGGAAATCATGGTCTCATTTGAAAAATGTGATAAGAGTAGACAGTAAGTCTCACTGAGACAGTATGAGACTACTATCTAATGTTAAAACCATGTAATGGGATCAGTTGAATTGGTAATGAGACTATCAAAAAATCTAGTCCTGGTTTCAGACACGGTTACACAGTCAGTCTATTTACAGCATTATCAGTTGTAATTGTAAGAAGACGGAGACTAATATTCTAATAGTCATTTTTAATCACAGTTATTAATATCTCTGTTATATAATCCTCAGTATGACTACTGATCAATGATTTAAATTCAATTAATGTCTCTTAATAAGTTCAGTTCTCATTAATGTAATAACATGTAACTCTTATAAATGCAAGATTGTTTGTACTAGTTTATACATTCACTGTAAGAGACACTCTTCAATGATTCTTCAACTCTAATTTCAGATGTTGTATATTGACTTTGTAGTGTGTCTTGAGATTGAACTGAAGACAGAATTGATGTAAAATATGAAGATTTGAATTAAGCAATTGAAGAAGTGTTCAGAATTCAGAGTTTTCAATTAATCAAAGAGAAAGATTCAGAGATATATACATATAAAGTAATTATTCATGAAAGTTATCAGATAAGAGTTATGAAATCAGAGTACTGATACATGATCATTTTCACATGATTTTCTTCAAATTAGAAAGTTAGTGTTATTAAAAATTATTATCTGATAGAGTAACTTATCAGCTCAGTAGTAATTTTCTGATTATTTTTCTTTTATTGTCTGCATTCTGATGACTTCAGATGTTGAGAAATTTCTTCAGAGTCATGATTAGTTCATGATAAATATTTCTGAATAAAGTTGCAGTGATTATAGTAGAGAGATAACTCTTCAATAATCTGCAATACAATCTGTTGATAATTATTTCATAGTTTATCTCAGTATTTGTATTGAGTTTTTCATAAATTTCATGACCTGAAATCAGATGTGAAGAATGAAGTGATTATTCATTATAATTGAAAGAGAGTATTCTGTATTAAATTATAAATAATATAGACTTTATAATTTATAGTGATTTCTTGAAGAGTTTATGAATCTTCAATAGAAATAAAAGAAGTGAAAGAAGTGAATTCAGAAGATATAATAATAATTTAAAAAAAATAATAATTTATTTTCAATAACTGATCACTGATGTGTGTAAGAAGAATTAATATAAGAGAAAATAATCTTCTTTCTTAGCTTAGTTATAATTTTAGTACTAACTCAGATTGAATATCATTAATATATAAAAGTAAATAAATAATCTTGATTAATCTCTGTCATATTTCTTGAAATATATTAATATTATGAAAGAGAGCATTATCAAATTATATTATCAGATAATATCATTAAAAATATATTAATATTATGAATATCAATGTTGAAAAAATGTTGATACTTATATATTATAGTGACATAATAGTTGAATATATATATATATATTATTCCTGACATTGATAATTGATTACAACTTGTACAATAATTTTTGAAAACTTAAAATTAATTTCAATTATTAACTAATAGTTACAAACTTATAACTAACTAATATAAAAAGAAAAAAACTTTTTCTACTCATTATCTTTCTTCTCTTTCTCATTCTTCTCACTATTCTTCATAATTCACTTTTTATTCTTATTCTTCTTCTTCTTCTTATCTGAGATGATAATCATCTTAAAATCTCTCTCTGCTGCCTTCTGTAACGTGGCGGAACCGAAGCGGTGACTAGTCAGCGGCGACACGTAGAGGTAGTTGTTTTGAAAAGCTGTATGAGTGAGCTTGACTATCTTGCTTGAATAGTGAGCTCGTAGGCTACAGGGTTATTGCGAGGATATCACAGATATGATACTTAGTATACTAAGAAGATTGTATAAGACATGCAGTAACTCTTGTGTATATTTCTGTAGAAGTAAAATGAATCACTGACTTCTTTAATGAGGAGCCAGCATCTAGCTATTCTATATAGACAATGAGTGAATACCCTTCTCTCATTTCACAAGTGAGAATAACCAGAGTGATATCTCAGCAGTGTCTCATTGTCAAGAAAGAGTAATCTGCTGATCTTGTATAGAAGTGAAGTTCTCATATTCATCAATTGAATCTTTCTATAATATATCTGAATAATGTTATAAAGTGATTGAAAACTGATTCAGATGAGATGAAATCATCTGCATGAAAGTGATGAGTCATGTGAAATCACAATGAGGTCTTAGCACAGCTGGAAGTGTGATAATACTCTTCTCTTTAAGAGCATAGTCTCTATGCTCTCAAGATTATCAGATTAGAAATTATCTTTGTTGTATAGCAACAGTTATCAATCAATTGACAGTGTGTGTGCTGCATGTGATACAAAGAAATAGATGAGTTTTTCTGCTGACTGTGTAAATCTTTCTTTTCTCATCATTGTTCAAATCAAATGCATGATAAGTGAGTTTCTTATATATTGATTTAAAATGTGAAAAATATAGTTAATAAGTGACTTACAGATCTTTCAACATATTTCATTCTATATATGAAATTCCCTGCAAAAGTAATGTATTTTAGAGACAAAGCTAACAGTAGTGACAGGATTTTTTGAAAAGATTCTTCTCTCTCTGTGAAACATTTTTCTTCCTCTCTCTCAATTGCAACAGTGAGTGCATGAGAGTATCATTCTTGAAGAACAATCAAGGGCTTATTCTGATGTTTTCTAGTGAGTAATAAATGTCTTTGTGATGCGGCAGCGGCCTCCATGGCTGCCAAGAAAGCCAGGTTGAAGGCAGAGACAGCAGCATCAATGAGCCGCGGGAGCACCACTTCCATTGTCACATCTCCTTCTTCTCCTGCTTTCTTTGTGGCCGCGGCAGTAGTCACTGTGCCTTGCAGTGAGGTGTCATCCCTTCTGCCAGTCAGTTTGTCCATGTCTGATTCATCCCTTACCCCCTCCACTGCTGTTGCAACACTGCCCCCCCCCCCAGCCAATACAGTAATGTATGACCCCGTGTGATCATTTGAAGAGGAACCCAGGGAGAGCTTGATTCTGAGAACAGTGACTCTGAGAAGCTCAATCTGTAGTTCCTCTCCTGCAGCACATCTGAGCCCTGCTCAGAATGCTGCTGAGTTGAGTTCACAGAGTCTCACAGTTTCTTTATCTTCTCTCTGTGAGAAGGCTCTGATGCAGTCTCTGACTGGCATTATTACTTGTCTATGCTGCATCAAGCAGCTGAAGAAGAAGAGGATTTTATGCATTCATTTCTTCTCTCACTCTTATTATTTCTGTTGCATCTGTAACAATGACTTCTATCTCTCTATAAGTATTATCTCACAGAAAGATGTTGTGTCAGTTCTGATAAGAAGTCTAGATATTCAAGCAGTACAGAGTGAGAATCTCAGAGCTTCAAGCATTGATAGATTTCATCAAGGCTGAGAAGATCTCTCTTACTTATCTGCAGAAGAAGATGAAAGCATGAGTCTCTAAGATAGAAAAACATCTCAGAATAACTGATCTCAAGAAGGAATTAGCTGACACTGTTATTGAAAGTGCTGCAGAGATCAATCACTGATTGAAGAGAATCTTACTTCAATTGAAGCAGATAACTGAGATGCTTTGTAAGTTAATAAGTTAATATTTCATATATTTCTTCTGCTCTTCTTCAGCATCACAGTACTAACTTCTCAGCAGATAAAGATGTCAGTGTCAGAGACTTCAATAGTGAAGAATGAGTTTGATGAGAGTGTGATTATTAATAAGTAGGCTCTGAAATTCCTTCTTTTTACTTTTTCAGTGAGCTGCAGCCTCATTAGATTAGCAGCAGTCTGCAGATTGATTAATATTAATCTTTTTATTAATTTCAAATATCTCTTTCTTTTCTTATTAACTGCTTCAGGAATTTTACACTTGTGTAGTCTCATTAAACTTCTAAAAAACTCTTTGAGAGAAAATAGAAGAAGAGTGCTATAGAGTCTATAAGATATCAGCTCATCACTGCAAGATCATCTCTAAAAAACTCTTTAAGAAAAACAAGAAGTCTCAAGTAGTGTTTCTTGCTCAACATCTCTGATATGTAATGAGATGATCTCTACTAGCTGCCTTATAGATTGCAATCTCTTTCTCAGCATTTTTCAAATATTTAAGTGATTTCTACAAATTCTCTGATGATGAATAATCTTCTCATTTAATAAGATATTGAAACTTACTGTAATGTGTTTACTTATTCAATATTTTCTTCATAAGATATTCAGTATCACTCTCAATCTTGATATCATTCAGTCAAGACAGCTCTGTCTTGAGATGTTGCTTATAGAGCTTCAAATAGAAAATGTGAAAAACAGAATGAATTGATTTCAATTCTGTGAATAATTTCAACTCATATATCTGTTTATTCATCACTCTTGTTATTAGAAAAGATTCTAGTCATCACTCACTGAGCTTCTTACATAGTCTCATTGTCTTGATATTCTTTACTGAAAGTAGCACTTGATTCTCTATCAAGAACTTCATTGAAAGATGTTTTCAATTATAGTATTTCATCTATCACTTCTGAATACAGTGAATGCTTTTCACTGTCTTCTCATGAATTTTGTTTAAAAGTTTCAATCTCACTTTTACTTCTAATACTGAGAAATACTTCATTCTCTGTATCTGTTCAACATTCTGACTGTCTATTCTCTTCTTTGAAATGTCATCCGCGATGTCACTGAGTAATAAAGAATTATATTCATAACAAGTATAGAAAGAAGATATCTTTAAGATTGCATTCTTTGCATTGTTATATGCAAATTCAGTGATTAGAAGATGTTTAGATTAATCATTCTGATGATATAAACAGAATGCTTGAAGATGCTGTTCTAGTGTCTGATTCTGGTGTTCAGTCTGATCATCAGTCTGTGAATAAAAAGTGATACTGAGAAGATGTCTTATTGTAAGATAATAGTAAAAAGCTGATCAGTACTTGCTAATGAAGAGGAATTCTTGATCTGTTATTAACAATTTCAGAGCACTGTGATTATGAATAATGATATCTAAAAACAGGTCAGTTAATTCAGAGGCTTTAATCTTTTTATGAGTAGAGATATATCTAGTCATCTTTGTGAAGCAGTTAACAATGATCAAAATTGAGTCATATTCTTTGACTCTTGTTGACTTCAGCAGATCAACTATGAAATTCATTGATAGATTCTGTCATGAGCTCTTTGAAACAGACAGTGACATCAACTCATCATATTGCTTATACTGTAAGATCTTTATTCTTTAACAGATATTGCAAGTCTCAACATACTCTTTGACATCTGTCTGAAGCTTGTTTCAAGTGTATTTATATTTTAGAAGCTTCTCAGTCTTCTCTAATCTGAAGTGCTCTGCATGAGAATCATCATGATGAATTCTCAATAACTTCTGACATATCACTCTGCTATGAGAAATGAAGACTGAATTATTCAGCAGTAGAAGTTCACATTCTTCTAGTTATTAATAACTTAGTTTCTTAGCAGTATCACCCTGCTCAGAGTCTGTCTCTTTCAAGTTCAAACTGAATTCTTTCTTCTTCAACTTCTGAATTCAAGCTGCAGTAGAGACATCTCTCTTCTATAATTTATCAATGAATTTCAAAAGTAGTTGAGTTGAAAGATTGTAGACTGTTTCATCCTTGATCAATTCAATAATTGCAAGATATAACATGAGAAGCTCATGATCTTCAGTATCAGTTTCTCACAAGAATCTGAGTTCTCTTTCATCTTCTATACTGAGTTGCACAGCTGCCTCTCTGACACTGTTTCTGAGCTTTAGAGAATCTCAATCCTCTGCAGTCAGCTTCTTCTGCAGTGATGACAGAGATTCTTTTGTAGAATTCTTCTCCACATTAACAATATTATAATCAGGTCATCTAGACAGTGTGTCAGCAGAGTTAAGCTGATCTGAACAGTATCAGATATAGAAATCATACTCTGAAAGCAGCTCTGTTCACCTGACTTGACATTCTGTCAAGCTCTTTGTTGTCAAGAAGTAACACAGATTTACATGATCAGTGAGAACTTATACTGAGTATCTACTACTCTGAAGATAATGTCATCAGATCTTAAAGAATTTGACAATTACTAACATCTTCTGATCATGAGTATCATACCTTCTCTGCATGAGTGATAATTTCTTGAAGAAGAAGATCACTGATCTTCATTCACAGTGTCTTATAGACTCTGTGAAAAAGTCTTCTCTCACAGACAATTCATTGTCTGTTTCCTCAGAAGTGATTATTCTCTGATTCTTTCAATGTTGAAAGGTCTTCAGTGTCAACTGTGAAAAGATTTCACAGATCTCATTCTCAGATACATCAGTCTCACACTGACTGAATAAGTCAGGATTAAAGTGATTCAGCATTGTAGCATCTGTAAAAGCTTGTTTCAATTCTGCAAATGCCTGCACAGTGTCTTGAGTGAGAATAAACAGTTCTATTTTCCTGTCTTTCACACTTCCCTTCAACAGATCTGTAAGAGGGGCAGTAATCTGTGAATATGCATAGATGAATTGTCTGTAGAAATTCACAAATTCTAGAAACACCTACATCTTGCAGTACATCCGCGGCGCTGGCCAGTTCTCAATGACAGAGACTCAGCTCCTGTTCATTGAAATGTCATTCACCTCAACAACATAACCTAAGAAATCAATCTCCTGCATGTAGAACAAGCATTTTTCAGTGTTTGCATAGAGTTGATACTGTCTCAAGCAACTCAACACTTCTTAAACATGGGTATCATGTTCTTTCTCTGATTTTGAGAAGATTAAAATGTTGTTCAGGTATACTATGCAGAAGACATCAACAAGGCCCCGCAGTGCCTCATTTATATAGGTCTGAAAGATAACTGAAGTGTTACAAAGATCAAAAGATAAAACAAGATATTCAAAATTACTGTACTTGGTATGAAAAGTCATTTTTCAAATGTTATCTTCATTAACTCTGATTCTATGATAGACATCCTGTATATCAATCTTTGAGAATATCTTTGCTTCAGATAATTAATCAATCATCTTGTCAATTAATAGTAGTGAATAGTAATTCTTAACTGTCACCTTATTAAGGCCTCTGTAGTCTATGCATAGACATAGTCTATCATTCTTCTTGGACACAAAGAGTATAGGCGTCTCTGCTGAACTCTTTGATGAATATATTCAGTTCTTTAATTGCACTTCTTCAAGATATTTGTACAGAACATTCAACTCCTTTACAGATAAGTTGTAAAGAGACCTGTACAGTGCTGTTACACCATCTTCAAGGTAAATCTTATATTGTATCTTGATATCAGGAAACTTTGCTGCTTTCCTTTTCAAAAAGACATTCTTAAAATCTGTAAAGAGACATCATGTACATTCATCTTCAATGATAAATACTGCTGTCAATCTTGCAGTGAGGGTAATGGCTTCTTCACCTGCTCTCAAGTCTCAATCACCTGCTATGCAGTATATTGACTCAATCTTTTTCTCAAGATTCTTTCAATGAAACTCTTCAGATTTCTCTATCACTGTCTCTTCATTAGTGAGACAGTATCATCACACCTGAGTGACTCAGTCAATGAGAGGATTGTTTTCTCTCAATTATGAAAGACCTAGAATGACATTCTCATCTATAATGTTGACTGCATGAAGAAGCAGACTGCTCTTCTTGAAGATTTCTTCTGAGTCTGTGGCTACACACTTTGCTTGAATTATGTCAAAACAGTGACATTTCATTCCATCTGTAAATTTTGCATGACCTGATGAATCTATCTTCTTTCAATCCTTCATCAAAGAAAAGGAATAGAATATGAAGTTAACATCTGCTCTGAAGTTAAGTAGACACCTCACTGATACCTTCTTATTCAGAGTATGCATTGTGATTGTAACATGAACTTAGAGATGTGAGAATTGTTAATTCTTCATTTCTTTCTCTTCA